CTGTCACCTTTTCAAGGGTCAACTCTGCAGCCCACCCTCCTCATCTGCAGGGGGAATGGGCCACTGTCTCCCACGCCCACTGTCCCCTGCCACAGGCTCTGTCCACCCTCCCTCGTCCCCCTAGCAGACCTGACACCGGGGCTGGGGTTGCTCTCCCTCGCCAGCTCCTGAGCCCCTGGTTTCAGAGCCTCTCACTCACCCGGGTGCCAGGGATTTGGCAAAGTTTGGTGGACACACTGATGGGTGGATGGGTGAAATGACAGCTGCCCGGGAGAACCGCGGTGATGGTAGCTGCCATTTCTGAACCCTCGCACGGTTCGAGGTGCCAAGCAGAGCCCTTTGAACTTATCTTCTGCTCATTCATTCCGAAGACAGCCCTCTGAGTTTACAATCATCACAGAGTCCACAGCCAGGACAGGAGGCTGGACCATGTGCCCAAGTCCTTCAGCCAGAAAGTGTCCGGGGGAAATTCACAGCCAAGTGGAGCGAATGACCAGGGTCCAAATCACCCACCCGGCGGACAAGCTCCAGGGGACGCATCGCCCCTTCTCAGCCTTGGTTTCTTCTCCTTGAAATGGGGGGACGGTCCCACTTTGCAGATGGCACCCTGTGAGGGCGTGAACCCTGGAGGATGCTGTGCCCCTTGACCTGTGCCATCTGCCATCTGCATGAGTAACTTCCAGTGTCACGTGTCGTTCTGAATCTCTAGTCTATGTCCTTGGGGGTCCCGATCGATCCTTGATTCTTGACCTTCCCTCCAGCCAGCGGTTCCTCCCCGTGTCCCCCACACACCACGGTTCAGACTGTGACATGCTTCATAGCACGTCCTGCAGCTGGGGGCCGTCTGCCGCCCCCTGGGTCCTAACTTCCTTGTGTAGCAGGAAACAGTGAAGCAAGGAGGCTGAATCCTGCTCTCCCAAGCTTTCCGATCCCTTCCTTTTCTGCCCCACCCCGCCTGCCTCACTCCCTTTAATCCCGCCGGCCACAAATATGGAATATGACAACTCATTCTTCTAGGAGCCGCAGGAGATCTCCCGCCGGCTGCAGGAGAGGCCTGATGGCTGGTGATCCACCTCACATGGGCCTAGGGGCTGCCCAGGTGTTCGAGCCCCAGACTCAGGGCCGACCCCAAGGCCACCAGTACTGGGGCCCGAACGCCACGCTGCTGACACTTGGGAATGGGCGGATCCCTGCAGTGTTCCCCAACAGCGAGGGATTGGGGAGCTTGGCTGAAGCGGGCAGAGCCAGTGCTCAGCTGGCCTAGGCGGCCTGTCAGGAGGCCGTCCTGGAAGAAGAGGGGTTCAAACAGATGTGGAGATGAGGGGGGACCCTGAGGAAGCCTGGGTGGGGCAAAGCAGGTCAGATGAGGAGCTAGAGAGGGGGGTGGCCGGAAAGGAGAGAGGGGAGTCTAGCAGCTGGAGGGAAGACGCCCTGCACGGTGACAAGCCCCCCAGGGACAGAGGCAAGGAGGCAGGGGGCGGGGTAGGGGAGCCGACGGAGACCCGAGGACGGACGGCCTTGCTAGTTGGGCATTTTGTTTTTATGTATTTCCATCAGCAAGAGAAAATGACACCTGGTACCAGTGCCTCGCGTTTGGCCAATGAGCACCGTCACCACCTGAGTTCTGACTGCCCAACAGACCAGGGCCCGCAGCTGGGGTGTGCAGGGCAGGGCCAGAAGGTCCCTGCTCAGCCCCTGCCCTGCGCCCCAGGCCGACTCCTCCACAGAGCCCAGGAGACCCAGCAGGAGGGCCAATTGGGCACCTGCCTGGGTGGGGAAGCCAGGGCTGGGCACTGGGTTGATCCTCAGCACCACGTAGAAATAAGTAAATAATATAGAGGAACTGTGTCCAACTACAGCTAAAAACCAAATATATTAAAAAAGAAGAATCCCGGGGCCGGGGGGGGGGGTGGCTCAGTGGTAGAGCACTGGCCTAGCATGCGTGAGGCCCTGGGTTCGATTCTCAGCACCACATAAAAACAGATAAAATAAAATAAAGGTATCACGTCCATCTACCACTAAAAAATAAATATTTAAAAAAAAAATAACCCGGATGTTGTTTCACGGCCAGAGAAGGGTCTCCTCGCCCAGCAGCCCCTCTTTCCCGGGTTCTCTTCTGACAGCCGTCTCGAGGCAGGTGCTCTGGAAAGGGCGGGGTGGGAGGGGAGCTGGGTCTCCATGGTGACCAGTCCACTCACCTGCCCATCACCAGGAGGGGGAAGGGCCGCGGAGGCTTGGTTGGTGGGGAAGTGGGGCAAAGGAGCCTGGTTACCCAGGCAACTCCCCAAGGTCCCCGCAAGGGCTCGGCTCCCACAAGTGGGGGCTGGTGTTGTCATGGAGACTCCCTGGCAGCGTTGCCAACGAGGAGGCCCTGGCGGGACCCCTCCCAGCCTGGGGCACCGGGCACAGGAGGTGAGGGCTCAAGAGCCTCTTGGAATAATGTAAAGAAGGACTGGCAGCTTGCCAGGAAAGAAAGTTCCAGAAAACAGTGCGCTCTCCCTAGCCCACCCCGACCGTCAGGCCACCCCGCCCTGGTTCGCAACCTGCCTGGAGAAATCCGCTGGCCCCCGGCTCTCACCCTGGGGCCCGTGGTTTCTCGGAGTTGCTGATCATTTCAGGCAGAGAGCCTGCCCAAGGGTCGCCATGACAACCAGCCAAGCCTTTGGTCTCCATGGTGACAAGCTCTCAAAGTTATTTTTATTTATTTATTGGGATTTTCAAACGGTTTTCCACCTCCTTGGCCAGACCTGGCATTTGGACCAGGACAGAATCATCTTTCCCCCTTAGCCTAGGGAAGGAATGTTGGGGGGCAGCTGACAGGGTGGCTGAAAGACCTCGAAGCGGCCAGCAAGAGCCTTTCAGCTGTCCCCGGTCTGCCAGATGCCTGGGGAGCCACTCAGAAGGACTTCCCCAGGGTGGCTCTAGGGGTAGCTTCGGGGGCCACATGGACCAGCCAAGGCATATCCTGCTTTGCTCCAAAGAACAACCAACAGAACTTGCAGACACACTCAGAGCCCAGCAGAATAAACAGGGGGCGGGGGGGGGGGTGAAGAACTTGAAGCACAGGGAAAACGAGGTATCGCTGCCTAAAGAGGGACGCATTCTGCGAGGTACAAACGTACATACCCTGATCCAGCCCCGAGCTTCCTGATGGCCATAGCAAAGAAGAAAACAAGATGTACGGAGTCCACAGGGAGGAAAACCATGTTTTGAGAGACATGTCGGATATGGGGAGAATAATGAGAGGCTACGATCCCGCACACTTGAAGTCCTCCCCTGCATCTAACTCAAGCCTTCCTTTGTTCTGCCTGCCGACTCTGCCTTTTTAGCTTTCTCTTTTCCAGCAAAGCCTGTTCCTTCACCCATGCTCTGTGATGGTGTGCAATTTATCCCAAACCTTATACTTGACAGAAACCCCAAGGAACCCACCTGACAAGAGAGTCCTGGAAGGACCCACCTCACTCAGCACCATATTACCATCTAAAGTGATATCCTTAGGATGTTTTGGGTTGCAAATAATAGCAGACCTGACTTAGAATGGTTTTACAAACAGGGGATTTATCATTTATCAGGACTACATATCTGGTCCCAGACTGATAAATTCTGAACCTTGCCAGTGTCACCCAGGACCCAAGTGCCTTTCGGTTTTGAGCTAATCAGGCCATCTCAGCATGTTAATTTGTTTCCTCAATGTGGCTGCCAGGGTTCCAGCCATCACATGCAGCTATGTGTCCAGTGGGGCAAGTAGATGCACTTCCTGTGTATTATTTTAAGAAAATCATTTCTAGAAGCCCCCATCAGATAACCCATCTTGTGCCCTTGGCTACATCTGAATCACCAGCTCCCTGCTAGCCAAATCCAGGGTGAGGTGAGCATGAGCAGTCAGACTCATCTATACCCATGCTGTCACCTGGAGAGGGGAAGGGACTCCTGGACAAAACTGAGGAGCTGGGCTTCAGGGAGGTCTCCTAGGACATGTTCCCCAGAGAAGTTCCTGAGGCGGAGGGTTCCATGCTGCTGATTTTAGGAGGTGCCCCTGGGAGAAGCTCCCACGGGGTGGGACAGTAGGACCAAGAAAAGGAGAGGGTTCAGCAAGGACCAAGTTCAAACAGAGCCTGGGCCTGGTGTGACCCGCGGGAGAGCTCTGCAGCGGGAGCCACATCTTAGGGGCAGCAGGTTGCATTCACCAGCAGCACTCATAGGTCACGCCTCCGGCTGCCTCTGCGGGTGTGTGATCTGCGGCACTTCCCGTGCTCTGCACAGGTGGGCACACCAGCTCAAGAGTCACAAGTATAGGCCCACCCTTGGAAGCAAAGTACCCAGAAGCTGAGGGACAAACACAGGAATGGTCGAAGCAACCTCCTAGGAGCATCTGGTCAACCAACAGTGTCCACCACAAAAATGACCCGATCCCTGCCTGGAACGCAGCCCCCATGAGAAGAGAGAGCCGGGCCATCTTGCTCATCTGCTGTGTCCTCCGCCCCAGCACAAGGCCGACCCTCCATTAGTAGGTGATGGATGCCTTGGGGGTGGGGCTTGCAGGGAGCTGGGGAGGGGACGCAGGGCCTCACGGCAGGGGTACCCCATCTTCATCATGGAGCCCCCTGCCTCCCACACTTGGGTTTTCTGGGGAATTGCTCCATGTTCACGGAGCCGGGGTGACCCCTCAGGAGCTCCCAGCAAGCCACCCCGCGAGGCCACACCTGGTTCCGACACAAGAGGGTGGCACTGTTCTCAGGAACTGCGTGTACCTGTGAGAAGCAAAAATCAGGTGCTGTTCTGAAAAAAAAAAGTGCGAATGAATTCCCAGCAGACCGCGCGGTGCCTCGCGAAGAGGAAGTCACTGAGACTCGAAAGGAACACCAGGGGCCCCAGGCTGTCCGGCCCCTCCAGGCCAGGCCCCTGTCACCCTCCTGTGGTTCCCCGGGACTCCTTCCCTGGAGCCTGGCCCCCTGCAGCGCCATCTGCATCCACCTTTTCTACCTGCTCCTTGCACTTACCTTGAGCTCGTGGAGAGGAGAGACTAGTCCCTTCTGCTGCCGTCTTCCAGGCCTGATGCGGCACCTGCAAGACCATCAGATCTTCAGACAAGGCCTTGTCTCTTCCCTCCAGGGTACAGGTTGGCCCGTGCCTAGCCACCTGGGGTTAGGTGTGCCCATGAAGCTTGCTCTGGCCTGTGAAATGGAACCTGAGGTGACAGGTGTCACTTCTGAGCACTTGAAGAGGAGATGCGTGTGACAGCGACATTCAAGATGGCAGGCTGCTTCCAGAGTGAGGATGACAGAGACCTGGGACAAGTTCCTGGAGTGAGAAGGTGCCTTGCACTGTCACGTGGCTGACACTGGTGGGGAGGGCTGACTCGGGGGGGCTTAGCGGTGTGCAGAGCCCTGGGTTCCATCCCCTGCGCCCCCCCCCCAAAAAAAAAAAAGAAGAGGAAAAGGAAAAGAACCAGGGGACGTTTCCTTCCTCGTGCAATCCTACAACATCCGGTGGGAACGGCCTCCAGTCGGAGATGTTCCACGTTATGGAAGGAAACAAGGGACGCGAGGCAGAGGAGGGGGCCCTGGTGACAGGCCCCGGCAGCAGGCCCCAGCAGGCCCTCCAGGTGCAGGTTAGGCAGGTGGTTTCTGCAGCTCAAACCCCGCCCCGGGGCCCTGGCCCACACTCCAGGACTCTGAGGCCCGGAGGGAACCCGCGGAGCCCAGCCCAGGAGGCCCTCCCCAAGGCCGGGGAGGAGAGAGGCCATTTCCCCCACCAACGGAAGACGTTTTTCAGTCAAATGAATAATTCATGGTAAACGACTCTGAGATGAGTCGAGGCGCCATCTTGCCACGCGATTATATGTACCATAAAAAGCGATGGCAGTAATTTACCTCCTCTCCAGTGCGGGTGGGCCGTGGGGATGGGGCCTGGTGCCTGGCTCGGGGTTATGAATCCTTCCTCAAAGCAGTTCAGCTGCAGGCTGCTGACGCTTTTACCGATTTGGCATGAAATAATGCCAGCCTTGGTCTGGAAACCGAGAGAGGGTCCAACTCCCCTTCCCCAGGAAGACCCTGGGGGAGAGAGAGGAGTCGGGCCACAGGCCATCGGTGGGGTGGGGAGGAGGACTGGCCTGGAGGTGTCCGATTAGTTCACCCCGAAGTTGCCCTTTCTCTCAGATCTGGGGATGGCGCCGGTGGCCCGAGCTCAACCTCACGTCTGAGCAGTTTCTGCTGCAGGAACCGCAGAGGGAATGCTGTCCCCGAGGTGCCCACCCTCCTGGAGTCACGGGTAGCTCAGAGGCAGGAGCTCCTCCCTGCTGCCAATGAGCCCAGGTCTTTGTGTTAAGAACCCACCTTCCTGCCGGACGTCCTTCTCTCCCCAGTGAGCTAGAGGGCGAGGTGCGGCAGAGGGAGAAACCGAGGGCCGTGTTGAGGCAGCATCAATAGCAGCTTTATCTGTGAGAACCCCAAACAGGAAACCACTCAGATATCTTCCAGCAGCGCCCGGGGAAAACAGACTGCTCCGTCCACTCGGCAGAATCACATCCGAGCCGTGGAACAAAAAAGGAACCAACTACTGATAACACCTGGCAATCAGGATGCATTTTAAGGGGATTACCCTACGTGCATAAAAAAAAAAAAAAGTCAGTCCCAAAAGGTGACATGTTACATGGTTGTACTTGGGTAACACCCACAAAATAACAATTGTGGACACAGAGAACTGACTGGTGGTTGTTGGGAGTCAGGGGTGGGCTTGGGGTGTGAGCAGGCTGAGGGAAAGGTGGCTGAGGTTACATGCGGATGACACAGGAGTCCTTGTGCCGATGTGACCGCTGTGTGTCTTGACTGGTGTCCGATATGCAAACCATAGGCACACACACGATTCAGGACTGCACCGAATGCAGACTCTATTGTCAATTTCCTGGTGTGATATCATACTAGAGTTTTGCATGATACCAACGTTGTCTTACAAGTGCAGGTAAATCTATAATTATCTTGAAATGAAGGTGCTTAATTTAAATTTTTTCCCCAAGCTCCCCCTAAGTGATTCTGTTCCACCAGGAACAACCCCTGCTTGAATTTTACTTAACTTCTACTTCGTATGGAGAACTCAATGTTCCAATCAATACAGTCCAGGCACTTCCTTTCCCCGTTCACTGTCCCAGGGGAAATGTGCCCCCCTTTACGTAGATGCCCACGCCTGGCCCCGTGCTAGCCAGACAGAGCAGGTTTCTTTACCAGGAAGCAACCAAACGAGAGAGAGACAGCACGGATCCTGGCTTTTCCAAGGGGCAGCTCTGCAACTTTGAGCCAATTATTTAAGCGTCTCTGCAAAATGGCGTGTTGGTTCCACCTGCCTCAGAGGGGGTTGCAAGGGTTGGAGATAATGGATAATGGAGGTGAGGCACCTGGAAATAGAAATTGCTCGCTGAGGAGGCTGTCGAGGGTCTGCTGAGTGTCAGGGAGTTGGCTCCACTCTGCAGGGCACACCGGCTTCCCTGGCAGCCTCCCCCTCCCGGGACTTGAAAGCCATCTTCATAGCACAGGATTTGAGAGACGAGGTCGATCGGAGGCTTCCTCTGTCCCTTGAAGACCTGCTGTGTATGGAAAGGGGTAACGTAAGGAAAAAGTACCTCCAACAGTTTTCCCTGGTGAATCCGACACCAGAATACCTTGAGTCAACAGCCCCAAGGTTGAGGTTGTACAGAATTTAACTAGGACATAGCCCGCGTTTTCCCAGCTTGGGAGTAAAAGGAGACTCTTCTCCCCGCCCAGCAGAGCCTTTCTGTAATTTCCAGGGCAGACAAGGCCAGGCGCTCTGCGCAGTGTGTGCAGACCCTCCCCAGTGGACAAGGGGGCACTCGCACGCGCTCACACCTGCTCCCAGACACTCGCGCCTCCCTCCTATGAGGGGCTGGGATCTGGTCTGCGAGGCAGCACGGGAACAATGCTGCTCTCCCTCGGACCCGAGGGCCCACCTCCTCACCTGGGCCACAGCTGGGACGCAGCGCTTTCATTATTTATGAAGCTTTCCTTGTTCCACGAATAAATAATCCATGACTGCAAAGTGTGGCAGGCACCGCCGTGGAATATTCATGAGCCACATTTGTGGGGATTTCAGCGGCGCCTGGGCCCCAGATGTGTCTGCATCGCGTGTGTGTGCAAAAACACGCCCCTAATAAAAATCATCATAATAAAGACTTCATCTGTCAGCAGAGGCCTCGTCTCTGGGAGGGAGCGGCTCGTCCATTCTTGGCACCCAGAGGGTTTGCCCGCCTGGTAATGGTGGGGCCGGGCACCCAGCTGGCTTGGGCGAGGGGGATGAGCCCCCAGCCCGGCAGAGAGCAGGTCCCAGTGCTCCGTGTCTATCGAGCACCAACAGGAGGAGTCTGCTCCATGTGCCTCCGCTGCCCACCTGTCCTAGGAGGCCGAGCTCAGCTGGGGTGCTGGATCCAGATGCTGCCCACCCGGGAAGTGGTCCTATGCTTCCTGGGCCAGAGGGCAGGAAGAGCTGACCTCTTCCTGTCAAGAGATTCCACAGAAAGGGGCAGATGAGGGAAGGACAGACAGGGCCCACCAGATCTCAGGAGGCTGGCCTTAGTAACCTTCCGTAAGGCTCTGCTTGCTAAAGCCCAGCCTCCCCATGGGCTCCCCTCACTGGGAGACCACGGCAGGCTTCCGACTTGAGTGGTTTGAACCCAAGCTCTGTCTCTTACGAGCTGTGTGTCCTTAGGCAAGTTATTTAGCCTTTCTGTGCCTGGATTTCCTCTTCTCTGATGGCAGAATAACAAGAATAGAACTGGCCTCAGAGCTCTTAGGAGCCTTTAATGTATGAATCCATAGAAAGTGCTTGGCCTGGGGCCTACCCGGAGCCCAGGAGGTGGACAGCCCCTCACCCCTTCTCCACCATCTCAACACCCCCAGAGCTCTGAGGACCAAAAAGCTTTCGAAAACTCATTTGGCAGCAAAACCTGAACTGAACTGACCTTGGAGGTACTTAGAGTCTTTATTTATCCCACTCACCAGGATTATTCATATGTATTTCTCTACAGAAATATGAATGTGTTGGAGTAGTTCATAAATACAGAGAACGCTGTGTTTCTAAAATCTAAAATAAAAATTCAACATCGAGTGCATTTGGCCCCAAAGGTTTCTGTGAGGAACCGCGGTCTGACGGTATTCTCGTGATTTTTATGATGGAAAGTCTATTAGTGTCAAGTGCCTGGTATTCAGGACCATGCCTGGCAGGGAGTAGGCCCCCTGAGCGGATGGGACAGCCTCAGGAGTTAGCCCTGCCTCCCTGACTTGTGCCCTGACACCCATCCCTCAGAGCCCTGCGTCCCAGGCCTGGCTGCGGACTTCCCCAAGGTCACCCTTGGCTGTTGGTGGCAGAAGCAGAGTTAAAAGCGCCCCCTGGTCTCCCTGCTCAGGAAGCTAATTACACATTCGAGATCAGGGCCAGGAGCAGGAAGCTGCCCAGATTGCTGCTGCCCCTGGTGAGTGGCTCCACTGGCCCCAGGGAAGGCCCGTCCTTCCAGGAAGGCGCGGGACGTCTCTCGGCCCCCTCCCGCAGTGGCGTCTGAGGAAGTCTGGCAGGAAAGGACCACACCGAATGAAATTAAATGGAGTGCCAGTCTGGGGCTATCTGGATGGCACAGGCGTGAAGAGAGAGGGCCAGACAGGGGATACTGCAGGAGCAGGTCCAGTGTGGGAGACCCCGTGCACCCCCTCCCCACTGAGGGAGACACACCAGAGTCCCACGGACAGAGGGGGAAATGCCAGGTTGAGAACTGGTCAACAGCCTGATTGCAGAATGTGACGCTAGGGAAAGGCCAGGGTCACTGCCCACGTCCTCACGGAGACAAGCAGCCCATTTCATAGGTGAGTGGAGGACAGATATCTGAACACGGGTCTGTGTCTCCGCTAATCACTCTGCCTGCCTGCAGCTCGGTGGGGCCCTGGCAGGTGTAAGTGTAGATCCACTTCTAACCTGTGCCTCCTGACCCCAGGACCCCAGGGGGCAATGAATCCAACAGGAAAAGAGGTGAGAGGCCGGGATCCTGCAGCAGAGCCCTGGGATCCTGACAAAAGCGGGTTCACAGCTTCCTCCTCTCTCCTCCCCTGCCCCCCCCCCCAGTGCCTGTCTTCTCCCTGTGCTGGTCCTTGGCACCGCAGTTCCGCAGCCTTCCTGGAACACACCTGAGCCGGGACCTGCCGTGCTCGCAGGAACCACCTTTGTCTCCAGCTCGTTGAACACCTGGTGCCCTTGTCTGTTCCCCATCACCAGCCTGCTCCGTGTCTGGCAGCTGGGACAAATGCGACCGTGCATCCAAAGCTTTCCAGCGCCTCTGAACACCTGTGAGGGGGCAGGAGACCCAGCATTAGAAGGCCACACTCCGGGGCGGCCCCCTCTGAGGCTGAGTGGTCGTGTTTCCTGTGTCAGAGCCGCGTCAGGTGTAGGTCAGGCCCAGGTTTCAAGGACAGGGTTTCGAGCCCAGGCAAGAGGCCATTGCTGCTCCCCGCCCCCCAGGAGGGAACCCCCAGGACAAACTTGCTCCTGCCACAGAGATGGCAAATGTTTCCTTTTATAAAACCAAAGCTGTGCGGCTTCCCAGAACTCGAGCCGCATCCCAGCTCAGCATGAAGAAGCCCGTGATTGATTGGCCATGTCTGCCGTGGCTGCGTCCTGGGAGGTGGCGGGGAGCACGCCATGTGTCGGGCTTGCTGACATTCATCATGCCTCTGGCAAGGGCCGTGTGGGGAAAGAC